GGCTCTGCCCCCAGCTCTGTCTGTCCCAGATGCCAGGTGTGCTGGGGCCTTTGATCTTCAGCCTGCAATGGGGACGCTGGTGGGTTCCCTGAGGGCTGCTCGCCACCCAGCCCTGCCAAGGCCTTGATCTCCTGAGAAGAATGAGCTCTGGGGCCCACTGCCTGCGTGTGATGTGTTCCAGGTCCTGGTCACCGGGTGGTCAGCAGGCGGGGCTTGACCCTGCAGGCCTGGAGCGGGGGCAGCTCAGAGCAACTCAGGACAGTGCACTTTGCACAGCACCTCGGCCAAGACGCCTACAGCCCCTCTGGCCTCCCTCCCACCTGCTCTCTGATGGAATGTTCTGGAATGTGCAGACCCTTCACATCTGCAGAGCCCTACTGTGTCCTGCCCACTTACTTCTGCAGGGGGAAGCATCTGTGCTACAAGTGAGGAAATGCTGACCTGCCAGGCTGCTTGAGAAGCGAGGTCCTGCCTCCCCCATCTGGCAGTCACAGTGGGAGGGGGTGAAGGTGAGCCCTGGAGGCCAGAAACACATGCTCCATTCACTGTGACCACCCCCCGGACTCAGCCTGAGCTGATGGACAGGAGGCCTCAGTCCACGGTCCCTGCCAGACACATCAATCCCTGGAACCCACCACCTCCAGCCTCACGACAGGAAAGGCAGCTGATCCCACACAGAGGGTGGCTGCTTTTGCTAAGGACAATATGCTAGACACGGTATGAGGTCTTCAGGCAGGAGCTGGACACTGGCAGCCCTAGGGCCTGGGTAACTTTTTTTTTTTTTTTTTGAGACAGAGTTCCACCACGCCAGGCTAATTTTTGTATTTTTAGTAGAGACAGGGTTTCACCATGTTGGCCAGGCTGGTCTTGAACTCCCAACCTCAGGTGATCCACCTGCCTCGGCCTCCCGAAGTGCTAGGATTACAGGCGTGAGTCACCGCACCAGGCCAGGCCTGGGTAACTTAATGTTTTAATCAGCGTCTCACTCCATTCTGTGGTCACAGTCATCTCCATGACTACAGAGCTGGGGACGGGATACCTCCCACACAGTGGCGCTCCCTGGGGTGCACAGTTCCATTCTGCAGCCTCTGAAACTTCCAAGAAAAGAAATACCAGCCGCTCTGATCAAGCACAGACTTAAGAATCGTCCCCGCGCCGGGTGCGGCAGCTCACACCTGTAGTCCCAGCACTTTGGGAGGCTGCGGCAGGTGGATCGCTTGAGCTCAAGTTGGAGACAAGCCTGGGCAACATGGCCAAACCCCGTTTCTACAAAAAATACAAAAAGTAGACGGGTGTGGTGGTGGCAGGCCTCTAGTCTCAACTTTTTGGGAGGCTGAGGTGGGAGGATGGCTTGAGCCGGGGAGCCGGGAGGTTGCAGTGACCCGAGATCATGCCATTACACTCCAGCCTGGACAAGCTCCAGCTAGGGAGGCTTGGCAGCGCCCCTCTCAAGCCACTCATGTGGCTTCCATTCGTAGGACAGTGTGGCCAGGGATGCCCTGCAGGGACTTCCTGGGCTATAGCTTGTCCAGGGCCTCTCTCTGTCACGTGTCTAAGGTCCTGGAGGCCGGTGGATATGCACAGAGGAATGACATCCCCCAACCTCACAGCCTTGGGTGCAGCCGGCAGACCCACTCCTCACCCCTCATGGGGGATGGCAGGAAGGCAGGGGGGCAGGGGTTCAGGCTCTCCCACGGACCCTAGACTGGGGCTTGGTCCTGGCTTTGACACGAAGCCCCAGGCACTGGGCAGGACGGGAAGGAATGGCTGAGCGGCCCACTCATTCAGCAGTCACCCAGCCTCCACACCTGGCAGTCTACTGTCCAGTCAGCCTCCACCCACGAGGAGGGGACGGCGTGACGGGGAAGGGAGGAAGAGAATCACCATGGACAGACGATGACATTTGCCAGAGCCCACAGAGACGCAAGAACAGCCTCAGCGCAGAGCCTGAACGGGACCTTCCAGCCCCCTCCTTGTCCCTAAAAGGCATCTTCCTCAGGGGCTGGCGGGGTTGCCATGAAAGCAAACGCACGGCCAAACCCCGGGGGAGCGGGCAAACTAGAAAACCACGCGGTGACCCGGGCACGGCAGCCTCTGCCTTGTCAGCAGGATCCCCTCGAGAAAGGGGTAATTGTGGTGGGAACGCTCCAAAGGCCCTGGGGAGATGACTTCAGGGAAAAGTGGCCTTGATCCCTGAGTCCCACAGATGTGGCCATGGGAACCATCCACCCAGAGGCTGGAGGGGAGACTCCGCCCGTGTCTAAAGCCATCCTGCTGACAGGGCCTGGGGACGCCCCAGTGGCCAAACGCACATGGGAACGGGATCCTCCTCCCTCCTCCGTGAGGTGGCCAACCCTCTGGCTCCTGACTCAGAGGACAACGTCTCCCCATGAACGCTGTGTCCCTGGAGAGAGCAGCCTGCCCGGCCTGGGAACATGGGAATGTGGAGAGGGAGGGCATCCCGGAGCCTCAGGCCTGATGGGGCCCTGCCCCAGCCCTGGAAACACCTCAGGGGCAAGACAGTCACTCCGCAAGCATGGACCTTCCGCTGTGCTGGGGCCTTCACTCCTCAAGCATGGACCTTCCGCTGTGCTGGGGCCTTCCGCCTTCCAACCACGCTGCACTCTGGCCCCTTGGGGCTCTAGGTGGAGTGTGCTGAACAGTGTCCCTCAAATTCACGTCCAGTGGAGCTGAGGGATGTGTCCTAGCTGCAAATGCAGTCTCCATAGGTGTAATTAGCCAAGGACCTTGAGACGAGATCATCCCGGATTAGAGTGGGCACTAAGGCCAACGACAAGTATCCTCAATGACATGGAGGAGGCAGACCCAGGTGAGGCGGAGCTGGAGCAGCGGAGGATTCCTGGAGCCACGGGCAGCTGGAAGGGGAAGGTGGCACCTTGGGTCTGGACCTCTGGCTGCCAGGACCGGGACCGTCTGTATATGTCCATTGCTAAAGCCAGTCTGCAGGCATCTGTCACCACACATGAGGGGCCAACTGTGCCACCCAGGGGAGACCTCCCTGGCTTCTCAGTGCGTCAGACATGGGGCAGGACAGCTGCAGCTCAGTCACCAGCCGAGTGCACAGTCAATGGCTCCTCATCTAAGAGGGGGCTGGCCGCGGCCAGGGCTGGGGGGCTGTGAGCCCCGTGTGGTCAGTACCCTGGAGCTAGCTGCCCTGTGGGCTCAGGGAGGACGTGCAGTGACTGCCACACGGGTTCGGTCCAGAGCCCAGGCCCCACCTGGGGACCACACCTGGGGCTTCCTCTGGTCTGCCCACCCCAGGCCATGGCGCCACTTTTCACATGCCTGTTTCATTCTG